TTCCGGCCGGAAGGATGGTTTCTTTTAATGCCCTTTTTGTGGCATTTCAGAACCCAACGAGATTGAAACCAGAATCCGAAAAATACTAGGCCCTTTCTCTATGGAGACAGACTGGCAGCACGCAAAAGAGAAATGCTAAAACAAACATCCCATAAGAGATGGAAAACCCTCTGTAATAACATGGCCGTGGCAGACGGCTTCTGCGGGAACATTTTGAAGGGGATCTACGCCCCAACGAACCCCTCAGTTCCCCGGCGATAAAGATTAATAACACGGCACTCAAATAAAATCAGGAAGCCAAGCACTTTATCCGCTTATATTCAAGACGAGCTAAACGTCACCCTAATTCCTACCCTCCACCGCCCATTCCAGTCACAGATACGGAATTTATCCCGATTAAAGCAGCAGAACTGGAACGGGCACAACGTCTCCTTCCTAAAGGGACGGCCACAGGACCAGATGGTATCTACGGCGAGGCACTCCAACACTTGGGACCTCGTGCCAAAGCGGAGACTCTTGCCCTCTTCAACGAGAGTCTCCGAACTGGTATAGTCCCAGCCTCTTGGAAAGTAGGCATTATTGTGCCACTTCTTAAACCCAGAAGGAAAGAAGGCCACCGACTTGGATTCATTCAGGCCAGTTACACTCACTAGTTGTCTGTCCAAATTAATGGAACGGATCATCGCAGCACGTATTAGAGATGTCATTGAAACCAAGCTGACCCCACAACAATCTGGATTTAGACCTGGTCACTCGACGTTAGATCAACTATTGCATCCACGCGCAGCCCTCACAAGACCCACCATTGATTCGCGTACAGGCGCAGTATTCGTCGACTACGCCAAAGCCTTCGATACTTTAGACCATGATCGAATAGTTAGTGCGATGCGAGAGATGGATATCCCACCGCACATCATTCGATGGTCTGCATCTTTCCTGAAAGGACGTCAAGCCAAAGTACGAGTAAACAGTAAATCCTCTCCTTTAATGCTTTTCCACCGTGGCGTGCCACAAGGAACAGTTCTCGGCCCACTTATGTTCATTATAGTAATGAACGCACTAAGCAAACGACTATCTCCAGTTCCCTTATTATTTCATGGGTTTTTCGCTGATGATCCAACGCTAGCAGTACGACACATCAGGAAAGACATCATCAACAGTACACTGCAACAAGGACTAAACATAGTGGACGAATGGTCCACAAATTATTTTATGGACATTAATTTGGACAAGACAAAATACACACTTTTTGGTACCACCAACCCGCATCCCCTTTCACTGAAACTGCGCGGTATCCCTGTAGGCCCGGAGAAGGCACCTGAACTCCTAGGCATCACCTTCCAAAACTACCGAGGCATGTCTACCCATGCGGTTAAAACGAGACAACGCATGAATTTTCGTTTCGCCTCGGCACAGTGGCCGCGACTTTCCACCCCTTCCCCCGACGCCGTTCGGGGGTTTTCTCCTTTTTTGGGGGAACAAAAAGATTCCCAACAAAAACACCCAAAAAAAGCTGTCGGGCAAAAAAAATTCCGATGCCGGGGATCGAACCCGGGTCTAGCGGGTGAGAGCCGCTTGTTCTAGCCACTATACCACACCGGATATGAATGAGGGAATCAAAGAAGAATGAAAAAAATTCCCTAGGAACGGAAAGGACGGGAAGTAAAAGGAGAGGAGCCCCTCCCTTCCTCGCCCGGGTCCCATGCTTCCTTTCTTTCTTTTTGTGAATTTGGTCTTCGAAAAAGTGTGGAAAACAAAAAAACAAAAGGGAAGAAAAAAAAATGACACCTAAAACAATGCAATGGCCAAAATGGCGCCAAAAGAAAAATAAAAAATAAATAAAAAAAGAAGCACACAAAAACAAAAATAAAAAAATTCACACTCATATGTTTTGGCATGGGCTCATTTGTTTTTTTAAAACGTCTGTTAGTCTTTTTTTTTTTTGTTTAACCTCTTTTCCTTGCTGCCTTTTCGGGCCCTCGCCATGGAAAAAAAAAATGGGAAATAATCCTCAAATATCAAGATGAAAGACTTCNGGTTTTGAGGTCTGGTATTGGGATGCGGCTCCCACTTCACGCAAACTCCTCGATGCAGGACAGAAGAAAGCTTGCCGAACCATAGCAGGTATCCCCTATGGGTGTCGCTCCGCCGACGCATTACGTGAAGCCCGTCTTCTCCCATTAGAGATGACGGCCATGATCCGGAGCCTCAAATATTTAATGTGATGCCAAACACG